AGATGATCAGCTCAACACCCAGGAGGAGTATAAGAAGATTCAGGAACCACTCTGCAGGCGCTGGGACATTGCCTACCAACGGTAGTAGTGTTCTGGCCAATATTCAGTGATATTAGTAAATACTAATATTGTGTTTTTCCTCTGCGCTTCCTCAGAGTTTGGATCTAGTTGTACCTGCCCTGCCTGAGTTCCACATGAATTGTGACTCCTCCTGCCTAGCTACAATTGCTGGATGCCTTCCACCACTTGCCTCTATCTACTTGTTTGTTTCACCTTGTGCCACTGGACATCTTCAGGATAATACCTTCACCTGCTTCACACCGTAAGAATAAATCTATAAGATATATTCTCATTCAACCGCAGCCCTCTAAATCATCGCTCTCTCTCCAGGTGTTCCCGTTCCCCTCATTCATATTGTATATATCACCAACATGTAAATAAACACTTTTAACTATTCTCTGAGTCCTGGTCTCTGTTCAGTTCTGGTCTTTCATTCTGGGTACACCGCAATCATTACAGAATGTCCCAGCCAAACCAAGTACCCTTGAAAGATTCTGGATCTGAACAGAACCAACTCACACTTCAGAATATGTTACAGAGAGTAGAGAAAAATGAAGCCACTCTTGAACGCTTGTTAAAACAAACTAACCAGTCTAATCTCCAGGAACTGGGCAGCATGTTGTTTTCAGTCAAACAAGGGATGACTCAGCTCCTGCCACCTGCTGCTACATCTACACCTGAGGTCAGTCTTCCTATTTCTAATATTCCCCAAGTGACCACCACAGAGCAAAATTTAAAACCGGCAGAACTTTTTTGTGGAGAGCCTGAGATGTGTGGGGGTTTTGTACTCCAGTGCGAGTTAACTTTTCAGAGAGCACCTAGTCTTTACTCTTCAGATGCTGCCAAGATTTCATTTTTTATCACCCAGTTAAAGGGGGACGCATTACGTTGGGCTCATGCTCATTTATCCTCTCACCCTGTCGGTACCTTAAGCTTTGCCTCACTTCTAGAAGAATTCAAGCGCGTGTTCGATCAACCTCTCCAACGAGCTGAAGCAGTAAAACGTCTACTCACCCTTCGTCAAGGCAGACGCTCCGTTACGGCTCATGCTCTGGAGTTCAGAATCACCGCCGCCCGAACCGGATGGGGAGAGGTCGCACTCAGAGGTACCTTCCTACACTCTCTCTCCAACTCCATAAGAGACCACTTAGCGGCATTAGAGGAACCACGAAGTTTAGACGAGCTAATTCAGTTAGCCACACGTATTGACAATCAACTGCAAGAACGAAGGTGGGAGAAAGACTACGATTCCCAGAACCCGCCTACTTCCGGTTTTCCCTCTACATCAAAACGTCGAACTGTTTACAATAAAAAAGACTACATTTCCCAGAGTTCCACTGCTTCCGGTTTTCACTCCACACCGAGACAGCCACCTGCATTAATGTTAGAAAACAAACCTGACTCAGAACCAGAACCTATGCAACTGGGTCGCACTCGCCTCTCTCCAGAAGAGAGACGAAGAAGAATAAACAGTAAAGCTTGTATCTATTGTGGTGAACAAGGACATTTCATTGCTCGTTGCCCACTCTTGGGAAATGGCCCCTCTCACCAATAAAGCAGGAGATATTGGTGAGAAACTCTTCTTCTTCTCCTGCCTCCCGCTTGGAACTCAATACCACCATTATCGTTAATAGAGAAAGTAAATCAGTTGTTGCTCTAGTGGATTCGGGGGTCGAGCAGAACCTCATTAGCCAGGACTTGGTGGAGCTCCTAT